GGGAAGGGCGGCGCGGCGGCTGCTCGCCCGGCCGGCGCTGTCCCGGAGCAAGCCGGGGGTTGTGAAACCGAGCTCCCGCCGGAGGGAGATGGGCCTGGGGGCAAAACAGCCCCGGGCCTTTGGCCCCCGCTGCCCGCAGGGCTGTTTGGAGCTCGGATGGGGTCCAACCTCGTGCTTCCTGGCCGACATTTCTTCATGGCCCACTTAGATTCCCGCCACATAAATTTTAACTTAGTTGTATGTAAAGCAGTGCTTGCTTTGTATTTAATACAGGTTTCCTGTCATGCTCTTTCTACTTCCTAACATGCCGAGTCATGGTACCGCTTTCAGCCTTTTATTTGCTGCACAGAGAATGCGAAGGGTGTTTAAACAGGAACAGGATGATCGTAGAGCGCTTCTTAAAATTTCCCGGGATTCCGCAAAATAAACACCAATTCTGATAAAGGTTTGAGTCGTTGTGTTGGCCAGCGCATCAGGTGGCTTCATGCTGGGAGTTACGGAGGGGAAAAAAAACAACGTGTAAGTATCTGACAGCTTTTGTAAATTCCAAGGAACCGAAGAGGAGTTTTTATTTTTTTTCAAACTGTTCAACTTGGGCTTGGAAAGTCAGCACTGCTAGCCCCAAGTAGGCAAAACACATAATGTCTCTTCCTTCTGCCCAAAGTCTCTATATTTCTTTTGAGAAATCAGCATTTTTTGCTTTTGATATCTGAGTAATATAGATTTTAAATTTGTATAGAAAATTTTAATAATTAAAAAAAATGTGATCTTTTGTTTACAGGAAACCACGTGATTCCTGTGTCTCAGACATTCAGAAAAGAACCACATACTCAGCAAGTTTGGAAATACTCATTTATCCACTCCCTTGCTGTCCACAGGCATTTACACTGTTGCAAAGATGCCAAGGGAAAATGGTACTTTTTCCAGAGTTTGGCTTGGACAAGTTTTTTTTTTTCTTCCTTGAGCACTGTGTAAGAGGATGCAGGCTAAGGAGGCAACTTTTTATCACTTCCCTCAAGTAATATCTCTAAAATGAAGCAGGAGGCCCCCTCTCTCCCTCTGGCTCTCTGGATGATGCCAGCTGTGATGCAGTTGAGCAACCACATGCCATCACTGTTGCTCTCGCCCATTACCACCTCTAGGATCCTTTTCTCTGGTAATAGCTCAGTCACTGAAGATGCACTCAGGCCCTGCTTGAATTCTTGAAGGGAATCACCTCCAAGAATGCTTTTCCTGTAGAGATGTGTGGCCAGGTAGAAGGATTAGGCTTGCATTATATAGGCAGGCCTTAAAAATGCAATTGCTAATGCAGGCAGCTATCACAGCATTCATGGTAAGGACTTTTCAAAAACTTAAACATGAGGGAAGCCAGAATACCAGGTTCTTCACATGCTCTTTGCTCTTTGACTTCCCCCTAGTAATCTTCCTGACAAATTACATTCATTGTCTTTATCCTGGCTGAGTAGCTGTGTAACACGATGTATATCTTCTGCTGCCAAAGTGAGGCTCTGCCTGTTAATGAACCCATTGACATCCTTCTTCCTATGCTCCTCCATGGAGCTGAGAGCAGATTCGGTTCGGTAACCAGTGTGCTATTCCTCACCTCCACACTGAGCCCAAAGAGCCAGGGAGGGGTCACGCCTCTGTGCCCAGGGAAGCAGCATAGGGTGGGTGAGGCAGCTTCGAGGGCATGAAAGACCACGTGCAGAACAGGCCGGAGGCTCCTGAAGGCTACTTTTGTTATCAGTGGAAACTGAAAGCAGCAGCTGTCACCACGCCGGGCTGCTGAGGCAGGATTTCTTAGTCTGAGCGCCTTTTTCTGGTGTTTCTTCTTAGGTATGCAGGGCTAATCTTTGCAAGAAGTGTGACCCTACTTGCTCATCTCAGAGGGCTCTCCATCCAGGGCTGGCATAGCTCTTTGCCAAAGCAAGCAGCACAGTAAGGTTCCCCCTAGGAGACCAGTTATTCCACCTTACAGTTTATAAACAGCAGAACCTCTGGGTCCCTAATTGAGATGGGGGGGCTAACAAGTTTGCAGTATAATTAAAAAGCTGTGATGAAGTGTCACAAGGCTAGTCTCCTAAACTATGGATGGGAGCCAACCTCCTGTGTCACAGAGTCCAGTGGTCACTTTCCATATACTAATTTCTCTTTTGGCATCAAGGAATAAATCCTTGCAGAGTGGCCTTCTGACACCAGAGAGATCCTTCCTGGGTAACCACAGCTTTCTCCCACTACTATTTGAAAGCAAGAGACCAGAAGGACAAGACGACCTGTAGGGTTGAAACACCCCCAAAAAACTGCCAACCTACTGAGCTGCACAAATGAAGGAGAGAGCGCTGTGTCACTCTCCCCACCTACAGCCCAGGCCACGGTCCCCTGCCTCTAGGCTGACCACTGCACAAGAAGAAATCTGAGGCCCCTCATCCCCTCTACTGCCATAACAAATCTGCTTTAATCCAACCACTTTACAAACACCAGGGTTTATCCTTTGTTTTGAAAATGGCTGGGTGGGAGGGAAAATTAGACTCATGGTTTGGGATTTCCCCAGCTGGGATTTCCCACAACATCCTGCGTGTTTTCTGCCTGTTGAAAAAAAGGCACAAGGACTTATGATTTCTCTCAGTCTACTTAATGACAGCAGTGCAGCTTGCTGACTGGATGTCATTCCTCCAAGCTTCAAGCTCCTGACATTTACTGGCCCATCACCCACCACTTAGGCTGAACATGCACCCTTTTCAAATGGGAGATACCCAGACAAGATACCTTTTCTAGGCCAGTGAGGCTGAACGTCTGAATTGTTCCCATCTGTTTGAAGGGCACAGCTCCAGAGCTGTGCATGGCTTAGCTAACCTTCCTGAGACACAGGCATGGAGTGGTGGAGGCTTAACACAGAAAGTCAACGTGGAGGTACTGATGTCATTCACTCCTTATTTCACTCAATGCCGCTGTACCAGCATCAGATGTTCATGTTAGTACTGCAGGCTAAGGAAGTGAACTACAGCTGCAGAAATGAAATCCTAGTTCTTACAATTCAATTTACATTATCTTCACACCTTCTTGGCTAATTTCTCTCCACAGAGAATCTGAAGAAACAATGTAAAATGTAGAGAAAGGAGGACCATGTATTGGGGCTGTATCAAGATTAATTTGTTTGTATCTCAGATAATTCAAATGGATTCCAAACATTCCAGCAAAAGAGAAATTGAAGTCAGTCCCTTTATCACCTAGGTTTTTATCTCACCTCAGGATCACCTTCCCTCAGCTACTGGCTTCCTCTTTAATTATCAACAATGCGAGTGAACGGGAAACAAACACGGTAACTCCACCAACAAAAAGAAAAAAATAATTAATGACTTTATTTTTTTTTTTTTAGTTCAGTTGGCCATCTGAGGTGCTAAAATCTCAACACCAACGAAGCAAGTGTGCATAAAAACAAACAATAAAACACAACCAAACAGAAGAAAACAGGCTGGAACAGAGTAGGGGTTTTTTACAGGTAAGGTATATGCTTTTCCATTAACACTCCATACATGCCAATCATAAAAGCCTTGAACAATCTGAATATCAGAGTTCACTTTCATACAAAAGGGAAGATGCCAAAGCAGATCCCTTCACCTGGATTAGACTTCACACACACACACATGCACACACAGATACAGAGAATTTAAATTACTGCAATGCCATCAGAACATGGCACCCTCCTCTTCACATCTGCTTTCAGCGACATCCTGATCTGCCCAACTACCCGGCCTATAGCAGTACTCTGAGCAATCCAAAAGCAGGAACTTTTGGAAAAAGCTTTTAATCTCTGTTATTTTGAAACAGCTGAGAGGCAGCGATCTCTTTCTCTGTGAACTATATACAGGCTGGTTTTTAGTATGCTTTAGAGTTCTCTTTATTGCAGACAGTGATGACTGAAATTCCCATAAAGCCATGTTGTGGCTTTTTCAGTCTGTACACAGGAGATTTTTACAATGCAACACCTTTCTCATCCACTGGTGTCTGGTGTAAACACTTAACTGAAAACTCTTTTAAAGAATGTTAACTAAACAAGGTGTAGCTGTGAACATTTCAGGAACAGCTGCTAAGAAAACAGAACTGCCGGCTGCTCTAGATCATGCAGTCTAGACCACTTATAATACTTCATAATGTTCAGGATTAACATGTATAAAAATATTAAAAACAACCAGAGTGCACACAAATGTGGTGACTAGCTCTATGCAAGCACTGTGTTCTAAGAGAGGCCTAGGCATTGCACAAAACTCAGATTCTTGACCATGGGGGTAACCCAAGGATCCACTGGTGTCTTTACATACAAACAAATATTTACATAAAATGCAGAGATGGATAGAGAGAAGGACAGACTTTCAAAACTTGCGGTTTGCTCTAAAATATGTTCAGCAACGCAGTTTGTAACATGCCCTAGTGAGACCATGGGGTATCGGTTAACTGAAATATGTCTGGAAGTTGGAGCTGAAAGGTCTTGTCACCTCCCCACACATTAGTTCTTTGAAGCTCAGGATTTTACAGCCATTTGTAAGTTTTAATGAAAACATGGTTAAAAGGAACAGAAATTATTTTTTTTTTTTTAAATTGTACTGTGAAAACAGCAGATTAGTTGTTTTGGCAGTCCTTACTCCCCCATCCCCATTTGCCTCCCGGGTGTTTCCAGGAGGTGGCATCCCCCTCCCTTCCATGCAGGGTACTGAAGTGCTTGCCCCATCCTCAGTGTGCCCATTTCAAAACGAACACAGGTTAGGTTCCAAGCTCGGCTCACCTCCTACCTACTGCAGGGAGGAAGCAGCCAGTCCCTGGTATAGACCGTGTGACATGGGGCTGGATGCCCTGGCGTGCCCACTCCTCAGAAGCTGAGGACCTTTTTGCCCCCCTCATATGCGAAATGGACACACTTCACTGCACATGGCTGAGTCATGTGCTGCTGCCCACCCGGGCAGCACAAAGAGCTAGAACAACCTACTTGGATTCTGATACAAATAAGGAATCTTGTGGTCTCAAGAGCCTTCTTCAGCTTTAAAAATATAAAATTTGAATTTAAAATATTCAGATAGTAAAAAAACCCAGTATCTGATATGCAAGTCATATACTTAAAGTGCAAATGAACAGCAAATACAAGTTGTGCATTTTACAACCATTTTGATATAAAAAGGCCTTTTAAGATTCCCTTTTGTGTACTTTTAATTAATTGGTGTGTGCGGTGTTAGCTCTTCATTTTCATTCTCATTGCTGGAGGGCCAGCATCCCACAGCATGAAAGGGAAAAGCAGTAATCTGGTATTTCTTCTTCAGGATTTCTTTCTGTTCTACAGCTCACATGCAGTAATCTTTTGTGAAAAGTTAGATGTGGTCCATATACCTAGTGCATTTTAAAATGGACTGAGGCCAATCCTCTGAACAAGACAGCTTACAATAAACTATGTATCTAGCACCTCTCCTCCTTCTTTCTCTCCAGCTTCCACTGGTCTCTGGAATGCAGACTGTGAAAACTACTGTTGCCAGTTTGACTTGTGCAGCTGGCCCCCGCACTGGAAATTGCGGGGAACTGTGTTGTTGGACATCCTGTTGGTAAGCCAACACTGCGATGCTGGTATAGCAGGTACCACTTGCTACCATGTGCAGTTATAAAGTAGCACTGCAGTTGTCTGTCTGCTTGGTTTCACGAGCATCTGGATTTAGTTTGTAATGCCTTAGCAGAAAACACTAGGGGGACAAAGGGGGAACACTTGAGGCAGGAAAGACATGTTTCCACAGTTAACAACCAGCACCACTCAGAGTCTCTAGGGACAGTCCTACTCATTCTTCCTCAGCCTGAGGATGCTCCTGAGTCAGAGGCGAATTCGTAGGCCCTGGCTTACAACAGACCTCTTTGAAGGAGGTAGAGAACCAAGAGCAAGAAACCATGCTAACTTCTGTCTTGGAGCAAAAGATTAAAGAATGTTCAGCCCTGCTTGGGTGCCTTGCACCAACAGCATAAATTCAAGCTGAAAGAGTCAGTGTGCTGTATGAATATGCTTGAGAATGAGACACTTTCTCAAAGACGTTGGGGAGCAGGCTTAGTACTTCCTTAACAAGAAGTCAGTCAGCATCCCAAGGTGCGAAAACCTCGTAACACCACATTAAGGATGGGATGCATACCCAATGCACAGTGCTGCTTTAGCTCTGCAGGACAAGTTAAGAACGTCGTGTGCTCAGGGAATCTGTCAAACAGTAAATGGTGCTGAATTGCTCAGTGCATGTCTGCTCACTGGTTAATGTTATGATTACAAGTGAATACCCTCCTGGCTGAAAAGCAGCAGCTTTGCTAGCTGAGCCAAAAGGAGCTTCTTCGAACAGATGCAGCAGGAAATGTGCTATTTTTGCTTTCATGGAAGTCCCTCTAACTGTTATCTCAAGAGTGTGAGGGTTGCCTCTTTCAGTGAGAAAGAGACATATATATATGGGATATTTCTATCTCACAGTTTTGGCTTTCTTGTTATAAGAATGCAAAATTTAAATAAATTATAGGTTTATTAGTCCAACAGAGGGAATCTGGGATGCTGAAGAAAAGTATGCTAAGAACACAAATAGATTCTTACAACTCCATGAGCGCACAGGATTTTGTCATGAAGGAAAACTCTTAGGGCAGGATGCATCTGTGGGTACATAGAGGCTGCCCTTGCTGTGAAGCAGGGACCAATCCGCAGTAGTGTCTTTCTCTAACGAGTTAAAACACTCCCTCCACAATCAAATATGTGTAACAATCAAATTAATAAGAACACTAATAAATAGCCACAGGTAACAATGTCCAGTAATTTAGAAGTGGAAGTTGTAGGATGCAGCAGGCACACATACCCATCACTCGTCCATTTTTTCCTAAAAGATACAAAAATGAATCTTCTTTCAAGTATTAAAAAAATAAGTTAATTGACATAAAAGGATCAAAGTGACTGAGGGCCCAGGCAGGTCTTAAGCTTTGTTTCCAATGTGCAAAAACAAAATACAGAGGAAAAAAATAAAAATACTGAAAAGTCTTAATGGTGGTTCAGTCACTTAAGGGCCTCTCCCTTTTAGGGGCCTAACAGCCAGGGAATGCTGCCTGGTAACACCCCTGTCTCAGCACACACTTACCACTGTCCCACAGTCAGTATTTTCCAGTGTCAAAACAGTCACAACAAAAACAGAACAAAGAAGCCCACCAGCCTCTGAGCTGTGGCCATGAAGACTAAGGCCAGCAGTAGCTGTCTCTCCAGTGTGTAGCAAAGCAGAAGAGCATCTTCCCTCTCTCTTCTTCTCCCCTTTTTTTCCCCACAACATGATGATGATTTAGGAGGGTATGATAGGGAGAGAGTCTTCTGATGCCCAAATTCCTCTAAAAACCAGGAGGCAGAGTTCCATCATACATACTAGTAGTATCTTCCCTGTCTCATATTTCTTTATATCCATGCATAATGATCAACTGCCGGTTTCTTTGGTGGGAGGAAGACTAAAGCAAAGATCTCGCCCTGGGCTTCTGGAGCTCTCCTGGACAGCTGACTCCACCATACAGGCTGCTACAGGCTGCTGTGGTTTTCCAGAGAGGGTTACCACTTCCCTCCCTTTTATTAGAAGTGGTGTAGTTAAAACAGGAAAGGAATGGACTGCCATAAATCCAGTTCAGTTAAGGGTACTTCTTCCCTTAACCTCCTTCCCCACACATGGATTATTCCTCTCCCTCCTACCACACACAAAAAAATACGGTCCATTGTACAGGACCTCAAGGAGACTCTACAGTCTCAACTCATTATCTTCAACTCGGCTTGCAGACATGTAAAACTTAAGCTTCTGGAACCAACACACTTATCAAAAGGCTTCTGAGTGCTTCAAACCAAATCCCTGCATGCTGTTGAACCATTTGGAAGTTTCCCCTTCAACATCTTCCTATCCATGTAATTCTGGCGAATTCAGAGTAGGCCAACTGGACAACACAGACCAGCAGAGGTAAATGTGTTAAGCTCAGGACCAGTTCAAGCTAAAACCTTTGGAAAGCATGACTGCCTCCAGGTCCTTGTCTTCTTCTTTTTCTCGAAGCCGTTGCTCCTCAAGGAGAGCTACGAGAGAATCTCTCTGCTCCACTACTTCTAGCATCTCATTCAGGATCCTCTTCTCCTCTGAGAGCTCCTCATCTGTCTTCAGATGATCTACAGAAATACAAAAACTATCAGCATACACAAGGCTAGAGAAATAACACACCTACAATCTATGAAATGTTCCCCTTTGCTCTCACCTTCTACTGCCATCCTCTCCCGGAGTTCCTGCTGTAATCGACTCTGCCTGTCTTCCAGTTCTAGCTCCCGAGCGCTGAAAGGGAAACATCAGGAATCCAAGTTCTGGGTCTATTAAAATATTCTATACATTGCTTCATATCTGCTCTCCCTCTAGATATCTGATATTCATATTACCGATATGTTTTGGAACATCTCTTAAAACACTTAAGACATATATTTTTAAAAAATTTAAATGTACTTTCAGCATCTCAGGTTCTTTACCTCCAGCTAGGAAGTGCAATACCAAAACTTGAGCAGATTATGTATAGGATTAAATCTAAAACAGTGTGAAGGAACAAACAAATCTGCAGTCACTTCAAAATTATACTTTACCTCAATGTATCTCCTGCCACTTCACACTCTATCAAACTAAAGACATGTCAGGCCATTGCCTTTTCAGATTTCAATGCAGACAACACCTTGGGGCTTTTCTGACACAGGCACTAAGACAATCAGTTTCCAGACTGCTGGGGTCAGCTGACATACTCAGGAATGAATTTCAGTGAATTTGCATCGTGGGGACTGAGAAAGCTCCCAATTTCATTAACAGGAAAAAAGCTTTATCACCTGAGCCCAAATGAGAGGCACTGGGGTCCCACTAGAGGCAGAGTCACATGGCAAAGGTGACTGAATTAGACACTTTTGGCTACACTTAAAAGTGGAGTCTACCAAAACCATGAGTCGTCACATATTATTTCTGCATAGGTCAAAACCACCTGTGTGAACAAGACATGTTTTGCCCAAGAACGGCTTGGGAAGGGCTCACAGCTTTAAACACATACGTACTTCTGCACATGCACAAGTAGTTGGAACTTTTGTTCCTTATTGGTATTATTCCTTCTTCTACCACACCTCTGAAATGTACTTGGATTCATATCTTAGCCAAGAATCATCCTAGGAGACTGTTGACCTCCCAGCATTATAGGGAAGATAGTACTGACAGATCTTCCAATACTATTTGTAACATAATCCCCCTTTTGAAGCCTTGCACATTCACTCACAATATCATCAGTTCAGACTCATAGCGAACCAAGGCATTCTTCTCCTGCACCAGCTTGAACCACTCCTGCATCAGCTTGGGATCATCCTTCTTACCCATGCCTGCCAAAAAAGAAACCTTGTAAGTTTCCAGGTAACACCCTGCAATCCTTACAAGCCCAAACTGCAAAAACAACAATGGGGCAAAATGTGCAAAGAAAGCCGAGCAAGATGCTGCCAGAGCACTCCCAAGCCGGGTCCATTCAGTTTGCCTAGAGCACACAGAAGAGTGGAAGTCACCTCCAAAAGGATTCTCTTCTCTTTGGAGCCTGGGTGGTTTTTTGTTTTGTTTGTTTTTCTTTCTGATTTTCTCGTGATGGCTTGTTTCTTCCTCACTTTTAATGCAGACAGCCCAGATTTCTGTATTTCACTTTTCCTTTCATTAGAAGAGCTTTATAGATCCTCATGCCAGCTACTTAAATGTATACTCATCAGAAACAGATTCAATTGCCACTCCATGTGTTTTTCCTTTATTTTCTTCAATTGCGTGTCCTCAATCTTTTCTTTTACTGACCAAAAGTAACATCTTGTCTTTTTTCAATAGCTAAACAAATATTTTCTGACTGTTCCTCCTAGCCACATATATCTATCCACCTTGAAGATCCCCTCTGCATAGTGAACACAGAAACTACTTCTACTATATTGCGCATCAGCAACGGAAAGAAAAAGAATCCTCAGACACATTTGCTAATATCAAAGTAAAATAAAAATACCTTGGGCCCTGGCCACCACATACAGAACTCTCAGTTGGTATTTATTTTATTTTAAAAACAACTCCTCAACTTACTCAGTATTCCACTGATATTCATCAAATGCAAGGGAAGCTCCTCCTAGCAATCTCCTGGTCTGGGGCACTGATTCCACACTGAACTACCAGCAGATGAATGCTGTCACCACTGAGGGCAATGTGCCTGCCTGCATGGAATTATTCTTGAGTTGCTGCATCCCATCAGCTGGCACTGCATGTAACCTAGGCATCCTAAAGTAACTAACATCACTGTCTATGTTTGTTATTATGGATACATACTATCTACAAGAGTAAAAACCTCTTAAGAGTAATTTTGATGCTAAAAGTAAACAAGCAGCAAGTTTACTATGCAAATTCTGGGAAACACTTCACAAACACCACATGAATGGCTGTCTAATTCAGACCTGTGCCCTGCCTCCATCCTTAGAAGCTCAGAGAAGTGCTGTGCTGGAGCTAAACAAAGGAGAGCCTACAACTCCTCTTAAGCTGCAGTTTAGGCTGAGAATGCCTGCTTTTGAAAAATCGTAATAGCAGACCCTTGGGGAATACCAGACCCAGTTGTACTACCCTAAGAGCCTTCAGCTCTGCAGACTTTATACCAGTGTGTTGCTCGTTCCAAGCATTCCTTTCTGAGCATCTCTGCACAGTATGCCCATGTGGCAACAGGAGAGGGAGACTGTACATGCAGATGTCCAGTGCTGTGGCGCCATGAAAACACTGGGAAGTCTCCCCATCCTTTCCAATGCCAGGATGCATAGAAAACAAATGCCTCTAAGAAAAAGCCAAAACCACAACGCTACTGACCTATGAAATACATAAGTATTTTTGAACAGCCAATGAGCAGAGGAATAATGGGAGGACTGGAGAGGGAGCACTGACAACTGATGTGAGGGAGCACCATGGAAAGCAGAGTAAGTGGTTAGCAAAATTACACCACGAACACACAAAACCAACCCCTTCCCCCATGCCTTGGCAATGGAAACTCTGCAGCAAACTCCATTTGGGACAGCTAAAGAATGCACGCAGCAAGACAGATGAAGGAAAACCGGTCTAGTTTAAGGTTTGCCAGTTTTTAAAGTTCAAGGATGTTTTTGCTAACCAGTCCTTATAAAGACACAGTATTCCTTTAATCCATATATACTAATTAAAAGGCCATATTTAAGGAAGCAAATTGTCTTCTCTTACCCCACTTTCCAAACATCTTTCAGGAGGAATAGAGAAAATGAAGCCATCAAATGAAAACAGAAGCTTTGGAGTGTAACGTTACTGCTCCCACTGCTGCTGCCCAATGTCCCTCCCAGTTGCTATACCTTCCCTGGCACAGCTGGGACTCGCAAAAGGGATACTGTACCTTTTATAACTTGCCACAGGCTCAGAGAAGCTGGTTACCAGGTTGCTACTGAGAAGGTTGGTTTGGGGACACAGGAAAAAAAGGGTTGGGGCCTTGTGGTCACTAGCTGACTAGTGCTGCTATGACAACCCAGCTGTGGTCAAGGACAACAGGGAGCGTGTGAGGTTACGTTACCTTCATGGGCACAGCAAGGGCAGAAGGAGAGAGGTCTACGACGTGGTGTCCCGGCATTGGGCTCAACTTCAATAGGACCAAACGAGGAAGAGGAAGAGGCAGGAGAGGAAGAGGAAGTTGGAAGTGGAAGGGAAGAGGAGGAAAGGGGTGAAATAAAAGACAAGCAAAGGACAAAAAGCATAAGAGTGAGAAAGAAAGGAAACACAAGAAGAAAAGAAAAGAAAAAATACAAGAAATGGAGAAGCAGAAACAAGGGATACAGTCTACAGATGAATAATGTCCCTAATAAGCACAGATAACAGGTAAGAAGTAGACTGAGGTACTGGTGAACTCTGAGTTGTACAAATACCAGACAGGAGGTTATTGATACTTTTTCCTAATGTACATTTTTCAATCACATGGTCTTTACTTGAAAGGTTTGTGAGCAAGATGTCAGGACATGCAGAGATGAATATTTAACTCCTGCTGATAAGTGTCAAACTTCAAGCAGGGTTACAAAAACTCTTGCCTGCATGCATAAGACACCAGCTGTAAGCAGCCACCCTACCTTAAAGCTTTATCAGGACCATGCTCTTACCACCATGGCAGCATCCACTGATGGTAAAAATGTCCTTTTTAATGGAAAATAATTTATTCAGACAGGGAACATCACAGGGAGAATCTGGTTAATGTGGAACCAGCCTGCCAGGATCTGCTGTGTCAAGTATGGTGAGTACACATGTACTCAACTGGACTGTTGTGCTTAAGAGGCGAAAAGGCTTTTACATGGATAAAAAAGCAATTCACATTAGGGTCTGCAGGGGCAATGACCAACTGAGGGCTTTATAGAGTTAAAATGGTAAATTTAAAGCTCTCCCTTGACATTCTCATTTTCACAAAGCGTTTTAAAGCTTACAAGGCCTGTTAGCATTGTTGACTTATTGAATCTTTTTCATTGTTTCTGTTACCCAGTGAAGGACAAACATGTCTCACCTCTAAAATGGTTCAGCTTTTTTAACACTGAGAATTTGCTTTTCAGCTGTACTTAACATTACAGTGATAAACAGTAGGAAATAACCAACATTACTAATAGTTACAGGAGAACATTTGCACAGGGAAGGTGATGAGCCTGAACCATCAGAGCTAGCAGAATGGAACACTTACTGCTCTCAATGCACAACCGCATTTATGAAGAGGAGACATTTCTGTGCTGGCAAAAGGCATAAATTCTACAACATTAATATGGTAAGAATAATGCTTATTTTGGAGAAGTCAACAGAGTTCATGTATATGGTTTGGGGAAAACTTTACAGAACTAGACTGCCGGTGAACTGGGAAGGCTTTAGAAGGGACCATCACAGAACTAGACCAGCACACAGAGGACACACTGGAGAGAGAGGGAGAGCACATCGGCTTCAGAGTCTGTGACTGAGCAGCACAGCCTTCTCAGACAGGAAGAAACCTCTGTACTGGGAGCAGGAAGGGGCAACATTGGAAGAGGTGCCACAGTTGGCCATATGACAGTTACAGATAAAGCATTGTACCAACCATGAGTTGACAGTACCAGAACCTTATTTCTAGTTCAGAATTTTCCAACTTCTCCATTTAAAATGAAAAAACACTAGGGCTTTTTTTTTTTTTTTCCCCCCCCTACAATTGCCATTTCACAGATTAGGTTACAAAAGGAAAACCAAAAAAGAAAACTCCCAAACCACAAAGGCACTTGAAGAATAAGTTTCCACACAAAGCAGAGCATTTAGTGCATGGTACCTATTATATTTTTTATTTCACATTCTATTTATTCAGCATGAATTCTTCTATTACTATCTTCTTCCTTTGTTCTTAGTTGTCCTATTTTTTAACAGAAATATTATCCTCCCACTCTTGTCTAAAGAAAATTTGTCCTTGAATCAGGTTACAAAGTCCATGGTATCTATAATAGTCCTGCTACTGCAGATGTTTAGATTTTAAATACATTTTAAAAAACTTCTCTAAGGTGACAGTCATGAAAACTGCCTCCCCACCCTTGCTAATAAAAAGTATTGACACATGTGGTGCAGACTCTAAGCAGACTGAAATAGGAACCTTCTAATTTTAAGAGAAAAACTATTTCATCATAGTTTCTGAAATAGAGAAAGATTTTTCACTGACAGTAACCAATGTTTAAGTGCCACATATTTAACTATCCCTTCAGATGAACTCTTTCAAGAAAAGGCCTCTTCACTATTTCAAAAACAGAGAACCAGGTTAAAAAAAGATCACTTGATAGATGGAAAAAGCATTCCCTCAGCCAGCCGATAGTTTTAGACAGTGAATGTATCATGAAGTTAATTTTTTAAAAATACAACTCCACAGCAAGAGCTCTCACTGTGTATATGTATGTTGAAAGACAATTTTGGGAAAAGGCTGAACTCCTTGTCCAGTACTATCAAAACGGAGAACTATACAACACCCTGGTTTACAATATGGTTTTAAAAACTTTCTCACGTCCCTTGCACTTATCACTTGTTCAACTACATTATGGAAATCCTTACATGTCTCCTTATTTCTTCCAAAGTCATTATTAATACTACAGCTGCTATTATTATTATTATTATTATTATTATTATTATTATTATTATATTGTTTAGAGAAATCACCATG